CTGTGACTGACAGAGTAAATCTAGTGTCCACCTCCATTCCCGTTTGTGTTCCTACTGACAGATAAGACCATTTTGCTAACTTGATTGTGACAAGTCCATTGAAAATCCAGAATTAAATTCCCTTTTAGATAGACTTCGTGTTAATATCTTGAATCCTAGTCTTCCAATTTTATATTCCAATTTATACAATTGCATAACAATGAAAAATATTTCATCTTTAGCTAATGTAGCTAATTTAAAAAAAAAAATGGAGTGCTCTCAGACAACAGCAATACTTTCAGATTCATAGAAAAGCCAAATTACTCTATAAAGACATCTCAATCGCATTGGTGCCTACCTCATGCATCATAATTTTAAAAATTTTTGTCATTATTTTCAAAATTCTCTACAACTCCCTGCTTCACATACGTTCCGTTTGCTGTCACATAAGTTCCTTAAATTTCTCCAAATTATAAAACATTAAAGCTGAGAATATACTCCTTGATCCTATTATTCATATTTTTTACAAAAGCACACATAGAAGTGTCTTCCCTTAAATCAGAAACATCCTTTCCTCAAGTATATCCGCACTATATATTCTAGTTTTCATGTTATAGAAAATACTAAGGGAAAAAAAAAGCCTCCTGTAAGAGAGATGTTTAGTGTTACATCAAGCTTCATATATTGTGTATTTACAGCACACATTAACTTTAATGTTGTCATTAGACAAGGAAGCTAAGGGACATTTGTTCCTTTCTTTTACACATTGAAAACACAGTATGGAAATTCCTCATTGTGTCTCACTCAAACACGTATAAAATCATATAAATTCCATGTAAATGCCCTATCCTTCAACAAAATTGGAATGTAAACTCCAAATCTTGAAAACACAAACCATCTTTTAAATGCTTCCTTCATAAAATAAGCAAAGTAAGCTTGAAATAGGGTTTAAAAAAAAAAATCTAATTCATGGTTACACCTCAGGAATTATAAAAGTCACTCCAGGAACTGAGGAAAAATCCAGGAGCGGGTGCAGTATCCACTCCACACAGGCCAGGAATTACCACCTTCAAATGCAGCCCATTAGCCTGAATTATACAGAATAAAACCTTCCATAGAGCAACACAGTCCTCCCTCCATTCCTTGTTCATGTGAGGTTATAATGCACTGCCTAATGCTTACAATGGAAGCAGTGGCAGCACTACACAGATTAATATGCAATTAATTTAAAGCACCAGCTCCTATGTTGAACAAATGGAAAGGATTACAAAAAATTCTAAACATCCGTCAGAAGAAAGGCCAGCAGACAGGATCTGTGCTCAGCAAGTTTTGTACGGGTGCATCAAGGTCTTGTCTGCCTTGTGAGACCTGAGCAGGAGAGGGAAAGACCCTGTGCTGCCAGCACACAGGCTTTCCACGGCCTGTCCTACTGCAACACAGAAACGGTTGGTGAGTGCTGCTGCTACAAGACCCAGGAAACACAGACAGCAGTGGAAGACCAAAATTTCACTTTCAGAAATCTGAAATATGTTTACAGAGAGCAGCGGCAGGCAGATCCAAGCCTGATCTGCCGGCATTTCAAATCACCCAAGTCATGTCCCCACTTATGTCCAACACCATTCAGACTAGAGCCACGCAGCACTGCCTACAGGCTGGCCCAGCCCGACCCTGAATTTATGTATCTTTGTATTTTGTATCTTTAAGGTACCTTTAAGGTATATATTGTATTGCAACTGAAAAAAAACAACCAAAGAAAATCCCAGCAATCCCCGCAATCCCCGCATACCTCACAGCTTTAGAAAACACCAGCACAGCAACGAAAGTTTCAGTACATCTTGTTCTGGTTATTTACCATCATTCTAACTTTGACATGCAAAACTCTCTTAAGCTGTTTTTTTAACAACCAACTCAGCAGACCTTTTAAACTTACATACATATACACTGGAAGTGTAAACATTTATTAACAGTTATCTTCCTCAGCTGATTACAAGCATTTGATTGCACGCTTGTGGTTATGATGGAAAAGAGCTGAAGATATCCATTGCTGTACTTACACTTGCTGAATGAGAGAAGATACATTTCAAAGAGTTAATTTCTGGGCTGCTTAAAAATCAAATACTGCATTCAACTGGATTCGGGTTCTAAGGTGTGGAAATACTGTTCTACTTGTTGGTATCTTTAACAAGGTTTAGCAAGATTACAGAATATAAATTAAGTCTTTACTCAACATTGGAAATTAAAAACAACAGATGCTGCTGACCTGAGTCCATGGGATTCTGAAATTATATTTTAAATCTAGAACACAAATGCAGTATCTTATACATAGACAAATCCACTTGATTTCCCAGAGCTAAGTGCTCTGTTCTACTTCCAGAGTTCTGTTTTAATCAGATAAGATAAACCACAACCATTATTAGTTCATTTAATTATGGCAAAGGAAACCACATGTTAGGGCAGAAAAAAACCCCACCACTCAGTGTAACTGGATATTGCATCCAGTTTTAAAGAGACCAGCAATGCCCAATTAATTTTTTCCTGAAAGAAAATGCACCTGACAAAACCATGGAATAACTTCTAGGACATTTTGAAAATCTCAGGTCTCATAAATATAACTGCCTCAGAGAAATCATTTTCTTGTTTAAAACATTTCTCTATAGATGAAAACCATGAACACCACAAACTTGTCAAAGCTTTACTCATCAGATGCAAACACTCAAATATATTCAACAAAACAATTTTGTAACACAGAATGAAAATACAGCAATATTCATCTAACCAGACAATTGCTGGAAACCTCTCCCAGCCTTTTTTGGCATGTTAACCAAACCTGTGAAGTTATAATCATCTTCCTAGACCTCTCCCTTTACACCACCAAACTTGTGGAAAGCAGTGATGTGGTGCAGCAAATTAATCCTAACCACCCTTCGTTGTACCATGAACATTACAGCAGAGCTGTAGGAAAGTGGAAGCTCTCCTGCTGGCTCCAGCTAACACTGCAGTTATAAGCCAGGTCAGGAGAGGAAAGTTTCCCCTGCAGAATAACACAAAGCCAGCTTAAGTCAATCCCAAAGTAAGCCGTATACAAGTTTTTAGATAAAGCCTATGCAACTTCATTGGAACAGATGTATCAGTTATTCCAAGTAATTTCAGATACGTGGGAAAGAGTTGTTCTAGACATCATTTTGCCCCAGAAATCTAGAAGGAAAGAAACAAAGAAACCCTCTCCAGCCACCAACCTAATAGTGAAGGGCTAGAAAATCTTATGCAATGTATGGCATAAGCTCAGATACAGCTGAACAGACTCGAGGGCATCTCTGGGGAGGAACTGGAAATACTGAGTCCCACATTGTGCGGTCAACATGACGGAGGAGGGAGTGGTGATATTTACCATCTCTCCCATGCATGTTTGCCATGAGAAGGTGGATGGAGAAGATAATGGATAGGCAAAAATATCAGGCATACTGTACCCTAACTCACACAAACACCTGCAAGCTATGCAGGGCAGGGAAATGTGTGTGTCTTGTGCAGGATTAAGCAGTCTGGCCATGCAAAGGGCTTGGTACCCTGCAGCTGGCCATCTCTTCCTACAGCCAAGACATTTGCTGAGTTACTGCAGTTGTTCAATCATATTAACCACGCTGAGGGTAAAGCACTTCTTTTCCTGAAATCCCACTAAGATTATCATATTGCATTTAACCGCTTCCAAGGAACAGACAGCGAGAGTGAGTGAGTGAATGAGAGAAAGCAAGCAAGGGAGGGGGACCAAGACAGCAAGGCAGAGGGAAGAAAAGAAAAAAGGGAGAGGGAGAGATGCAGTTGTGGCAAGCGAGCTGTCTTCAGACTCAATCCACTAAAGCTTCAGAAGTATGAAACACATGGGGACAGTCACTAAGGAAATACGTACAGTGAAGCTTAGGATCTCTGCAATTTGATGCACCAACAGTTCCTCTTGTAATAAACCATCGGCATTGCTTTCCCCTTCAGAGAAAAGCAGCTTGTCACTTTGGAAACTATGGAATAACCAACTGTGCAAAAATCTTTAAAAAGGAGGCATAATCAATCTTTAAAACTTTGTAGCACTTTGAAGATATCCTAATGTCTCAGGTTGAGATCCGTGTTTTACAGGGAATATAAAGAAGCAGCTGTCTTAAAAAGGGCTCCTTTCTGCTCTACAGTTTTCCTCTAAACTTATCAACTGCTGCATTTAATTATCATTGCAATATGCTAGAGCACTAAGGTCTTCCTTCTCTTTAGAGTGGAAAAATAATGTGATAGTGTGCATTAACAATGATACACAGGGGAGGTTCTGACTGGATATAAGGAAACAGTTTTTACTAGGAGGATAATCAGGAATTGGAAGAGGCTGCACACAGAGCACTTGTGGAATGTCTGTTCCCAGGCTTTTTTGAGACCTGATGGGAGGAAGCCCTGAGCAACCTGCTCTGAACTCAGTGTTGACCCTGCTTTGAGCAGCACGTTGGACTAGACAACCTCCTTCCAACCTGAGTGGTTCAATGGTTCTATAGTCTACTGTCAGATAAAAGGTATCAAGTTCCCCAAAAGCCCCACAGAGAACCCCAGGAGTTTTCAAAATTAGATTTAAAAAAAAATCCATCAGGAATTTTATTCCAAGTACCAGGTTGTGTTACTTATGCCCAGTGCAATTAAATCAATGGTATGACTGAAAACCCTTTAGTAAAAGCACATTTTGAATGAATTTATGAAGCGCATGCAGTAAAAGTTAGCAAAAGACAAAAAAAAATCAAGTATCTCTTTTTTGGAATATCCATTGTAAATAAACAATGGCTTTCCACTGAATTCCTTTCATAAATATCAGTAACAGCATAATAATTTACAGGCAACATTAAATGTGTTTCTTCATAACAGGTATTTCCTATTAACATTGCATCCCTTCTTAAAAGCACACATATTCGTTAAAGCAGACAGACCCCCAGGCAGCCCGAGGAAGCAGATGCAGACACCCATGCAGAAAGCACTTTGCAGGTGCAACACATCCTCACCTTGAGATTGGGTTTTGAGAGGAGTTTCAACAGTTCTCTGATCTCACTGCTCAGTGGCTTGCTCTGCAGCTCCTCAGCCAGCTGGGTGGGAGATGGAATTGACACAAAGACCATTAGCAAAGCGTTGTTTTACCCAGTGCATCGGTGACAACCCAGAATCCATCTTGTTCAAGGTTATTACTTTCCAGTGTGTTCAAACAGAAGTCAGCATGAAGAAAAACACCATCAATCACCGCGCTTCTTTTTCTGACCCTCGGCGGACCAGATTTAAGCCAGGCCTTTGGCTCTGTTTAACACAAGTAATCATTTCTGGCAATGGTGCAGCCAGATCACATTCTGATTTATAGCGATGGGGGCAAATCCCAGCACTTCATTTAAGTGAATGGTCCTTTGCGTGCAGACAAAGGACTGCTTGTAAAAATGACTGGATCAAACTTTGACGCTGTCTATAAAAAACAGTTTTGAATGAGGTGGTGAAATCCACACTGCTTCCAAAAACCCACAGTAGCGGTGCTGTTTAGGACTGGGATAAGAAAGCAAAGTGCCCCTACAGTGCAAGCAATCTGAACTTTTTATTATGTTTACACATACACTGGAAGGAGCTTGTTAAACGTGAAGTGGGTTAATCATAATATAGTTTATAACAGGTCATCAGCAATTCAAGCCCCTGAAATGCACAAACTATGTCCTAACAACAAGATCAGTAAAATTTATTTTTGGTTATACTACAAAATTGTGGTTTGGTGAACAATAGAGCAGCAGTCTAACGTTTAATCCCATGGCTATTTGGCTCATGTCTTGAGTTTTTCTTATCATGACATTCTCAACTAATTTGGACTCAAGAGGCATATTTTACTGCAGGATTTCAGACTCAAACTATTTTTCCAGAAGAAGGAAAAGCTAAAACATATTTCACAACGCTGAACTTCAGTTTAAAATTCTGAAGCTACATGGCTCATAATCCAAAACGTGATTTCAGATAATCACTTATTTTCTTTGCATTAAATCAGTATCATAAAAATGTCTCAAAGAAAGACTGGTTATTTGCAGCAAGTAATTTTATTCGTCTAGCCTAATTTTAAATTTGTATGTTCATTTTGTACAAATTTTCAAGATAAATGGATAGAAGAATATTTTGCATAATTATATATAATAGACAATTCTAGAATCATTTATATACATCAGACATGGTTTGAATACTTTTTTTTTTAAACCTTTAATACAGGGTTAACAGGACTGAAACAAAAATTCATCACCTATAGTCCCACAGCCTTTTAACTATAATTCATAGATAAAAACATCCATCAAATACATCAGTGCTAATCTTAACAATATTTGTGTCTTAATACTGAAAGATTAGAAAATGATCTCTGTAGGAAAGGTCAGAATGAAATATTTTAGGCCCATAAAGCCAAGTATTGAGGTAATCTGGCTGCAGTCTAGTCTGCATGTTCTGTGGAAAAGCTCTGCAAAGCTGAAAATAATCTGTGGGAAAAGCTCTGCAAAGCTGAAAATAATTCGTGATATGAATGACAGCAGGTCTATGACACAGGTTCCCCTTGGTTGTCTTTTCATTCTTTAGCTTGTACTACTCACCACTAGAGAATAAAATCTATTCATTTGTGTTTCATTGATGAAGACTAGTAATCACTCAGTAAGAATGACTGCTTCAGCTTTTTTCTCTCAGGTGAACTGTGCACAAGCATCTATTAACTTCAGCAGAACTGGCATTTGCTTTGGTGGTGCAAATATAAATGCAGGTACATAAGGTTTAGAACAGTGAGAAACAGAAGAAATAGTCATTGCTTTAACAGACTTTTTAATCTCATCATTTAGAAAAATATTTGTTCAGAGATGAAATCATCAAAAATCTGTTTTCACTTATATAATTTACAAGGTTTTTCCAAATATTTCCATAAAAGTCTTAAAGACACATGTCACACCCCATAATAGAAGAGGAGGAGGAAGACAAAGACTGATAGAGGAAGAAGACAAAGCCATGTTTCCAGATTAGCAAACAGGTATCACCAGAGCTGCTTGTTGTGCTTCTAGCAGTTTTGGACTGGATTTTCATTTGTTGTTGTTGTTGTTGTTGAAGTGCCGAGATTTGTGACAGCGACCAGCGGCAGTTCAAACTATATGGAATACTTTGGGCACACTGATACCGTGCCGATCACCTCCTATGCCAAAGACTGCAGGAAAAGCTGTCAGAGAACGTCTTCTATGATTCTCTGTTGAGGGAACCATAATATTTCACCAAGCTCTTTATGAAGAGCTGCCACTATAGAGAGGGAGAGGGGCAGATGTGGAGTGAGGCTGGCGAGGTGAGGAGCACCAGGGCCTGGGGGTTTAAAGCTTCTGGAGAAAGTTCTGAAACTTCTTTTGCCAGAACAGTCTTTCTAATAACCTAGAGGCCTTATCTGCCGTATACACCTATACTGCCAGCAATGTTTAGAACATTTGCATGAAATCGAGTCCTATGTCAGACACTGCTGCTCCAAAATAAGAGGCAAGCAGAATCTCTGATGGGAAATTAAATAAAAGTCACTGGAGATGAGGAGAGAGAAGGTATAGCAGCTAGGAATATGAAAATGTTTAGAAAAGAAGCCTTACCACAATTGTTACCTCTAAAATGGCTTTAAAAAAAATAACACAAGAATAAAAACACACTCCTTAAACAGTTTTTAGTTATGTTAGCAGCACCTCAGATTTGGGTTTTAAATCAAACAGGAAATATTAACTTGCTAATAAGAATATCTCCTTCTTTGTTTAACTATATAACAGTTACTATCACTAGGAAAACAAAACATTAATTTAAAGCCTATTGAAATGAAAGCGTGGTTTATATCACCAACATGCTCTTAAATCCCTGAAGCTGACAACTAGTCAGACAAATGTGCCAAAAATTGAATAGCACTTTAATCCTGGAACTCCATGGGTTTTGGAGTTAAAACACCCACCTCATGTAAATTAACCTCCTCAAAGTTTGCTGATAACTATTGAAACACAGAAAATCCTGCAGTGTGCTAGTCTGACTTCAGGTGCCAAAGGACATCCTCATTCTATGGGACGGTGCCCATAAAACCAGCTGTTCAGCTACACATAAGCAAAAATGAAGAACCAGCAAAAGGATCTTTAAAAAGAAGCTGTGCTTAAAAAGTAGGCAGATATCTAGAGACGCTCATGGCCCAACATATGTACATTTTAAAAATACTACCCTATATACATAATAATACATTCATAGAGTTAAAAACCCCGACATCTCTCAACTGAGGAGTGACAGAGTACTTTAATTTGGGGATTTCCAAAAGTATACATTTTAAATGGGGCTGAACAAAGAATAAGATTGCTCAGCATTCCTGAAAATATCAAGAACTAAGTTTTGCATCCAAAAATAAGAAATTATTCTTATTAAGAATTTTAGCCCCGAGATCCATAACACAAATGTTAACAAGGATTATTAATATGTCACCAAGAACTTAATGAAGAGAATTTCAACCAGCTTTCTAATTTTCAAAATTACTATCAACATTATTCAAAGCTACTTGAAGGTTAAAAAAATATTACTAATATATGCCTGATGTCAAAGCTAATGCATTATAATATTTGGTATGTTACAGGATATAGCTCTCCTCCTACTGAAACATGAGTAAATTACATTATATCCTTTTTTCAATAGACTTCAAACATGTTTAATTTAGTTTTTCGTTAAAATGTTATTATTCTCAATTCACAACATCTAACCATTTCTAAAATTTAAAAATCAAAAGCTATTTATTATATAAAAAGATAGTTAAGGTTTTAAAACATCTATAAAGCATGTGAAATTTCAAACATGCCATATTTGAAGCGGATCCTAATACATATTGCCTTTTCCAAAAAACAACCTGAGATCATCAATTGCAACAACGATTTCTGGATTTCACCTAAACCACAGTTTATTAAACATTTCTCTATCCTGGCCTACCTCAGGTTCAGTCATAGTTTATACAGGTGTGTGCACAATTCATCTGAATCCTAGAATTAACCAAATAGCAAGAAATGGCAGGTTGGATTTTTTTCTTTAAAATAAAAATTATAGTAACAGGAAATTAACTACTCCATCAATGCCGACCACTTTTACAATTTATTTTTTGGTTATGAAGGTAATTTGGAAAGCTCCAATATGAATAAATCACTACTGTACTTTTTCTTAAATAGTTTTTGATTTTTTTTTAACAAGCCTCCTTCCTAGGCATTTCATATGCTTCATTTCTGTAGTATTATCTGTCATTTTTCATGTTCTGTCAGCAGCGCTGCTATCTCATTTGTCTTTATTTTTCCAAAGCATTCCTCTTGTCTGTGACTTTCTCAAAACACTAATAGTTGACAGCTTTTCCCCTCCCAGTAGAGTTCCAACCTGTAATTTCTATTACGTAGTTACTAAAGCAGAACAAGAGGCTATCTACATGCAATGTTTTTATAACAGGCAAGTGAATAAAAATCAAAGTAATATCAGCAACAAGGCCGGTGATGACAGCACCTTTGGAAACATTTGCAGCTTCTTATGATTTCATCTCAGAGGATTATATTCATATGTTTGCACTATGAGGAGTTCTGCTTGCAGACAGTTTTTTGGGAGACTTGGTACCAGTGATCTCAGCAGGGGACACTTACATCATCTGCCAAGGCTGCTGCACCGTGGAGTATGGGCACCGGGTTCTGTTTTTCATAATAATGCAGTTTTTCATGAATCTGGAAGACAATAGCGCAAAACGATAAGTATATTTAGCAGCACGAGAAACAGTACAAAATGACCCTGTTGAGCTAACTGATCTGTTGAGTGTCTGTAACTAAAGAAACATCCTTATAGTAACCTACAGGCAGCAATCATGTAAATGTAATTCATCATCATCCTCTGTTGAAGTGCTAAGAAAATGAAATCAGATGGAAAAAATGCTCAGTATGTAGACCAACCCACAGAAAAACTAAACATTTGTGATTTTTCTCTCCTCGCTTTCTGTGTCCATATTTCTAACATATTGCTTGAAGTATCAATTACATTTTATATTGCTGCTGAAAACACAAAGCATAAAGTGTTTATCCCCAAGATGGATATAAAAAACCCTGTAAATTATGATTTATGAAGTGAAATAATAGCCTGCCACCCACATCTTGACAGACAGCTTGGTAGAGCGGCTAGAGTCATTAAAATAATTCAGAAACAAGGGCAAAGTAGTGCTAATATGAATTCTAACACATCTGAAAGAAAAAGGCAGTCCTTCAGCAAGTTAAAGTCATTTAGGAGTACTTAAAGTTTTTAATGGGGAGTTATCAACATTAAAAATGCAGTGTGCTTTGGTTCTTTCAAAAGGGGAAATGATGCACCATCATTTAAATATCCAGCCTCTTCCCTCCTCCACAAGTCATGCATTTCAAAATTTAGATTTTTCCAGTGTGAAAGCTTAAAAGAGCCAAAATATTTTAAAGCTTCTAACAAGTTTTTTAAAAGCTATTTCAGAATGGCATAAAATATTAAACATTCAATTTTATTTACATTATTTTCCTGAAGATACACAGATGTAAAAATATTAATTAAAATTTTAAAAAAGACGACAACAGTAGTCTGAACTGATGCAAACACACCCCATTCTTAGATTTCTACTTTAGTCCCACTGCTCTGAAGGAGGCATGGACTCCAGATGGTTGGAGGAGTTGCAGAAGGAGCTAAATCTGGGAGTTCTGTGCTTGGCAAGGAGGGGAACACGAGGTCTGGCAGAGGCCGCAGGGCTCTGGACTTGGCTGGGGAGCCCCTCACATCCTTGGGGTACAGGAACCCCAATGATACCCTACCCCTCCCCAGCGCACTGTTGGGGGAGGGATGGGACAGATGCCAGGCAGCAAGGACAGCTGTAAAAAGCAACCAAACCAGTGGTCTCTGCACACTGAAAACGTTTGGAGTTGACTGGATCATATCTGTTACGCACCAACGGTTTCCTCCAGCCTTCCCTCCTCCTCGACATTTGCTTTTCTCCGCTTACTTTTACCCCCAGCAGCACTCACTCCTCTTACTGCCCAGGACTCCCTCAGCCTTTTCCCCAGGCCGTTCTTTTGAATTTAATCTGAACTCCTAATAACCACACCCACAACAAGACAATGCCATGTCAATGACACTTGTGCTTGCCATTTTTCCTGTCTTCTGCTGTGCTTTGTAACACTTTTTAAGTCCATGTCTGTTTTTACTCATTTAGACTATAGGTTCTTTGAAGTAAAGGCCATATGACACTCTTTTAATGTAACGTGGCATAGCAAGATCTAAGTCTTGGTTGATCCTTCATCATTTCTGTAATCTTAATAGGATTATTTCTGTACGTGGTTTGTTAAAGGATATCGAAGTTCTGAAACATCAAGGTGAAGCATGAAGACACCACAGTTGCTCAATTGCTAAGTTGTAAAATGATTTGTTCTGAACAGCAAGTATTTGTACCTCAGCTGGAAACTAAATGCAAAGCACTCATGTCCAGAACATGAGTCTGAATTTTACATAGCTTATGTAGACATTGTTTACTCAGCAAAGTAAGACTAATCCATACTGGATGTCACCAAAAGTGTAAGTGACTGTAAAACTTCATATTTCTAGCTCACAAAGCACAGAAACTAAACAAAACAAGGAGCTGCACCTCCTGGAGTTTAGCAGAAATTTGTGATTTACTTAGACTGTGAACTTGAATAACTAAAAGGCGTAATAAATCAAAAAGTCTCAAATCCATTATTTTTTTGATTGCTTTGGCCAACATCTTGATTTTATCCAGGCTGAACTTCCATCAGCTCTGAGGTTAAAAGCAGTTGTCTATGCTACCTTCCACTTTCTCAAAGAAAATAGAAGTGCCGCTGCTGATGAAGCTGTTTTCACCCTGGACAACCTGCAAGTGTCTTCACCAGCGAAATTAAAAAAAAACCAAACCAAAACAAAAAAAAACCCAAAAAACAAACAAAAAACCAAAAAAACCCCAACCCCCCCCCAAACAAAAAAAAAAATGCTGAGACATTCTTGTTTAACAAACAAACAAAAAAACAAAAAAACCCCAACCCCCCCCAAACAAAAAAAAAAATGCTGAAACATTCTTGTGCATATCATCTTTAAAAAAATGTTTTAAAATTGTAAATTCATACAACAAAAAAAATAGGGTTTTAAGAGGAGGTACTGTGTAACTTTAACAAGTTATTGGCTCTGCCTATAACCAGCAAATGGCTGAAAACAAATTTTTATTTTCCTAACAGTGGATATCGGAATTCAGCTAAGCATTTAAGGAAAGTCATTAAGGTTTTACTTGATGATAGAGGAGTTGTAGAGAGTAACTGACAAATCAAATCTGGAGCAAACAACAGGAGCTAATCAAGCGAGCAGGAAAATTTAACTATTACTACTAGACAGTTCCAGATATTAGGTTTTGCTACATCAGGTTGAAAGTTTTATTAATTTACTGTATTGGCACTATAAGTGACTCCAGGGATAAACATTACATGTTCTACAGTGACACTGCAATCTCAGCACACTTCCATTTGAGATGCAATACAGATGGTGTCAGTTGGTTTGTTTTTTTTTTTTCCCAATAAGCATCTGATTTGATTTAATAGGTAGTATTTTTCCTTGTTTGCTAAATGCTAATAGCATTTACCTATTCATTTTTTTAATCAGATATTTACATGGCAATACCTGTCTTCCATCTCTTTGTAATTTAAAGGAGTTACGTAAGAAAATTAAAAAAAACACTGGTCTGTGCACAAAACTGCAATCAACACAAAATACAAGGATCACCTTTCATATCAGTGTAAAATTATCATACATAACATTAATACGCTGCTTCCTACTGCTCTCCTATGGATACCGCCTACCTCTAACTTCTGGATAACTGACATATTCATAGCGTATGCAGCACTTTTATATAATAGCTTCCTGAATGCAGTAAGACAGGAGATTTGGTGCAATTCAACTGACAAAGCAAAAATTTCAGTCAGGCAAAAATGCATTTTCAGGCAATTTCTTCTCTCCATATGTCAAAAAATGTGTTCCAAGATGTTTTGGTCCGTAATTTTTCCCACAGATCACAGTAAGGCTGACTGGCCTCTAGTTCCCCACATTGTATTTTTGGCCTTTTTTGAAGGTGGGTACAACACTTGCCTTTCCCTAGTCACTGGAGACTAGATCATCTCTGTTGCCTTTCAAGGATGACAGAGCACACTTGCAAACTCACCTGATGGCCTCTGAATTTCCCAGACTTCAGGGTGATGAATGACTGCATTTATGACAACTGCCTTTAGAAAAACTACCGTGCACACAGCCAAATGTTTGGGCAACTTCTCCACATGCTGTCTTTCAGCTAATTAATTTTCCCAAATCTGAAATTTGTAAATCATGCTAATATATACACAACTAGCATTATATTTCAAAAATTCAATTCTTACACAAGTAGAATTTGAAATTTAAATATCTAGATTAAGTGACCACATTGATGAAAATGAAGACAGCGAGGCAAACATAAAATTGAAAAGCAAAACAGGACAAGGTGGTACAAGTACTTTGCCCCTTTACAAATCTCAACTCAATGAAATTAAACTGTAACAGAAATTAAAACCATCCTGAAACACTTCAAGAGAAGTATGACAGTGGATTCAAAATAGTAGAAGATAGAGCATTTACCTATTCAAGATAAAACGTTTCATATCTGCAACCATTTGTTTGAGCTTCATTCTAAAGAATTCTATTTATTACAAAAGGCAAATTTATCTTGTATTCTGCGGCTATACCCGATGTTCAGTAACTTTAATACTATTGCCTTCTCTCTAGTAGAAACCTATGGAACGTATGGAGAGTATAGGACTGTATCATGCTTAAAAAATAGAAAATATAGTATGTCTGTTTTAAGTTCTTCTGACATTTAAGTGTAAAGCTTAAACCCTGAAAATCTCTTCACAAATGAGACCAAGTCTGTTAAAGCATGTTATGTACCGTAAATAAAACATGTAAGTCATCTGTTCAGCAGAACAGCTTTAAGTTGCTGGGATTTTTTTTTTTTGTTTGTTTGTTTTTTTATGACTACCTATCCTTTTCACTGTAGGATACTTTGGGCAGACTTACGAGGTTCTCCGAAAACTGACAATCTACTGTGAAGAGATGCCCCAAGAGGGAAAGATAATCATTTGCAAATTTATACAATTTTTGGCACATTTGTAGACAAGGGAAATTGTTTCTGGATTTTCCCAGAGATATTGAATTAAGCTTTCTATTACAAAGTATAGTAGAAATAAGTTTTCTGCAGTGTTCCCAGCCTGGACTATTTCAAAACCCGCAGGGAGCTTTCTGAGTCAGAAAAAACATATCTTAAGCAAAGAATCCTACAAAATAAGCTTAATTTCTCCTTTTAGATTTCTTAATTTCCAGGTACAGTTCTGGTATCATATGGCTGAAAACAACACAGGGGAAGGGGATAAGCATGTACACAGAATAGTATCATCAGTTTCCAATACCCCAGCTCCTTCTGGGAAGGAATCCCCTTAATACAAGAAGAATTTTATTCTAATTTAGTGGACTCTGGTACAGTTGTGTAAGCAGGACTTCTCTGAAAGGCTCTACAGAACAGTACTACACACCTACAAACTACATACCTGGCTTCAGAAAGGGTAGCTTGTATCAGTACTACAGTCCAAGATTTATTAGCAATCTTTTAGAAAGTTCTCCACCTATAACATATCTG